TTCTGTACACGCTGATCCCTTATTACAATTTCATGAACTAAAAATAAAACACATACATAAATTTTTGTTAAAACCAACACACTTACTACTTACGTGAAAGATATGAAAGTTCTCTCGCATAAGTTATCCAAACAATTTGAATCGTCTATGCACACAGATATATTCTGCATAAACCAGCTTATGGTGAGGTCTGAAACAGAGGTACTCAAACTTCTCAATACAAGGTGTCTTACGTTACTCGCACAAGGTGGGTCTTTTAACTTAATTAAATTCCTTAAAGAAAAAATATTTTATAATTCCACCCACTGCATACAAAAATGGGATTCGAACCCATGACCTTTCGCAAACCGAGCGATTGCTCTAACCACTGAGCTACCCAAAACCCAACAGGAGCGTATTTTCACCAATGTTCAGGCAATCCACCCAAACAGCCGAAAGAAATATTTATACAAATATTTTAAACGTTCGATTAAGATGAAAATTTGTTCTAATTATTATATTTGATCAATTTTTATTCACAATGCTTTACTGGAAAATATTCTTAATGAATGAACGAATGAATGTAAAATTGATCTTATATAACTAGAGCAACATCTGAGTCTATTGAGCTTACAAAGGATCTGAAATATCAAAACAGAAGCATACCGGTAGAAATCAGACGTGCACGATCACGTAACTCTTTTATGAAACAGATAAAAGAACATTTCTTCAAGCTGGATTTTTCCTCCTAAATTATATTGTCTTCTTTTTTATATGAGGTATGTAATATATGTATGAGTATATGTATATTGTATATATATATATGTATATGTATGTGTGTATTTCTGTTTTATAGTAATTATGTAGTACATTTCCATTTATCATAGATCAACCCACTACTCACTCATTTCTTTAATTGGTATAATTTCTTTTAGTCAAGGGTAGCCTGGAAGAAATTGCTACCTTAGCAATAAGGCCGCCTTTTGTGTTTGGTTTTGATTGTAAATGTTTTGTATAACTGTATTTGTACGCAATAAAGTGTATTCATTCATTCATTCATTCATAGTGCGCGTGGAAATATTGAAACTAGACGCCATAATTTTGTAAAGGAGCTGAATACAAACGAAATGCATAAGTTGGTCTAACACCGGCTCCGCACTATGGCCCATGATTGGCGAACACAGGCCATTACCATTGTGCAGACGGCATGTTCGCTTATATTAGCCCATGATCGGCCATAATCACCCATGTTCGCCAATGTGTCGGTTTTTCGGACAATTATCAAAGGAAGTTAGGCCACGATCATGTGCGCGTCCACACAATCGCCAATCGCTCAGTTCGCCGATTTTTTATTTAAGATACGCGGCGGACGCCTGTTGTTTTGCCAGTAATCGATGCTGAAATGTCATAGCCAAATACAATTTATATTTATAGAATTATACTTAAAGGACACTCCACAAGGATAGTTTAGATTCTTGGTTCGACGTCCATATAATTCAGATGGCCGATCCTGTGGACAGCGGCAGAATGATGGTGGCACTCAGTATTCAGTTTATTACAATTATCATTGTTGAGAGAGTGGAATCATCGTTTTTCGAAAAACCTTCTTTTACTTAGACTTTGAGAAACTCTGACTTAGAATTATTTTAACCACTGTAGACTAGCTGTATGCAAAATTTCTCTATGACCAAGGGTTTTAGGCTGATTGGGGTATGGACAAACAGACTGCCGAAGTTTATTTTAATTATGTGTACAGATTTGTCTACGTAATTCCAATAGTAAAAAGGATTCTTGGATAAAAGTTTCATGTAATAAAAATTTTCCATATTCTTTACCTGCATTTGTATATTTAACTCCTATAGCCAGTACAATTGGTGTTTAGAAGATCTACTGTTTCTCCAAAAATGAATTTCAATTTATTTTGCACAATTTATGATGCAACAAAGTAAGTACTTGACAATCTGGCCTCTGATACACAAATAATCTTCAAAGTTGAGATTTTCTAAATTTTCGTTCATAAACAAACAAATTCAAATTATTTATTCAGTCTAGGCTGTTACAACCACTTGTGAACGTCAAAAATTACGCGGAAGACCTTGTACTGAGAAGAAACGGCAAGAAACTCAGCAAGGCCTGCTTATTTCTTCCTGTTGTATATCATACAGAGAACTCTCATTGGAAAGTGACTTAATTATACTATGAAGTCACTTTCCATTGCAATATCAGAAATAACAAAACCGATTAATATGCCGGTTGCCAAGTCATATATACTTATTGAAAAATCAATATACAATATTCATAATAAAAGAAAGTGGATAAAAAGAAGTGAAAGAGAGTAGACTCTCAAATATCGAAGAAGACTTCTAAGATATTCTTTATTAGAATAATATTATTTGCTACCTGTCTCTTGCCTCCGAAAAACAATTTTGATCATCATTATCGTTCAATGTCCCCGGTACAGGGACACAGGTCTGTTAAATAGATTATGTTTGATCTAATTTAAACCTTAAAAAAATACTTTTGTACTTTGAACATGAATTTACCAAATACTATGAGATATAATACTACCTTAGTCGCCTAAAACTAAAATTACGCCATTAGAAGGTGTCACCATCTCTGAGATCCCGACTTCAATTCCCGATCGGATCTGGGTGACGTGGTACCTTCGTTGTCTCGTTTCCATAATCGATGGCTCTAGGTCCTCATCTTGGAATCTTCTACTATTATAACCAATAGTCACTGTTATTGAAATAATTCATAATTTATTATCGGCCCTTCGCCATACAATTTCAGATAAGTTATTACATTTCTAGAAACTAATTCGCTTAATAACCCTCTTAGTATTCAGGCGTATACATTAAAACAATAAACCCTATTTCCTCATCTGTGATTTATCGGACATCGAACTCTGAACCTTTCGCTCCCCATTCTCGCCATTGCACTGAGGTGGAAGTCATAAATAAATCTCTAACAACCAAAATCAATATCTCGTCGGGAAGAGGGGAGTCAGGATGAAGTAGCGTGTTCCTTTTGTGGCTATGAAATTCGCACCATTTTATACGATTACTGCACGCTTCTGTACTGCAGTAATAAAAATGTTATTAAAATGAAAAAATAGTATAAATCTATAACAATAGTACTTTTCTTAAAGAAAAATGGTTAAAAACCCATGAATTTTTCAAAAAATTGATCAAATATAATAAATAGTACTTTTAATAAAGAAGACTTCTTTAGGATAAGGAAATAAGTTTTAATTTAATCGTTAAAAGACTTAAGTGATTGAGTTTTATTAATATTCTCTAGAAAAGAATCCCAAAGATGTATAACATGCTCAGAAAAGGACTAAAAAATAAATCTGTTGAATGGCGAGGATTCTTGAGAGTGAGATTTTAAAGAGAAACAAAATGAACACTATGTAGAACAAAAGCGAAAAGAGAAGTAATGTTTAAAACGGTAAGAAAAGAATAGAATAGAACGTATGAGTATGCATACTCATACGTTCTATTCTATTCTTTTATATATATAATAGCAAGCCATTATAACTCAAAACAAAAGTGAGACCCTTCATATTTAAGGATATTAAAAATGAATGTAATGCCAATATTTTGCATACACTCTAAGTTGTAGAGAAACTATTTAGGTTTGTTATACTCTCTCTTAATGTAGGGCAGTGTAGTCGATAATAGAAAAAAAAAAGAAAACACGTCAAGGTGTCATCCTAAATGATTCAAAATGATATTTTACGGTACTAATTCAGTGTTCGCAAAAGGAACATATTCATGGCAACCAGGACGATGCCCGTGTCATTTACCTGTCTTCATTAAAGCTACTTTAGCCTCCTTTATGTGCCAGCCCACTTGCTATATGTTCATTTTATATGTATTGTAAATATTGTAATTGGTAACGGTGGGTATAAAAATTATTCTTGGGCGTTCTAAGTTCTATATTCTGTAGATATTATATTACAATTTCAACAGTCTAGCTATCTATTTATCACATTTCATGAAATACATCATGGTGACAGAGAGACTGTCACCGAATTCTTATACTAAGGTCCTATTTTTACTCTTTGGGCACGGTACCCTAAAAAAATGTTAACAAATGTAAGTGAATACTTAGATTTGATGATATTTTGTTTTTAGGTCTCTCACAGGTCAAATACAGCGTAAATATATTTATGAATAATATAACATATTATGTATTTGTATATTGACGGTCAGATAACTATGATCTTTAATAAATAATTAGGCGCTAAATAAGTTGTGTGCGACGCAGACGAGCGACAGCTTGAATAATATTTTATAAAAACATTCCCGTCTAAGAAACTATATGTTATTTGTGATACGATTGTCTGCTTTTTGTGGCCTGTTTTAAAATTAAAATCTTTATTTTTTATTTTTAAATCATAAAAGATTTTATAGGTAATAGTTTTATATGTAAACTAAAGGATCGTTCAGATATGTGAAAACATTGGCGTTGATTAAAAATATGGCTGGCATAGCTTTGTCAATCAAAATACGTATGTACCTACGTTTTTATAAGAATAATTTTATTTTATTTGTTACATTTCATCATTGGTAGGTGTTTAAATAATTAATAGCAAAAACCAAGGGATAAAACTATTTGAAAAAATATTTTTATGCAAACAAATAGCGAAACAAGCTTATCAAATATACATAAAACACCCATTCTCATATTTGGTTTTTAGGAGTCTGCTGAGTGTGCTATTGTTAGGTATGAAAACTATTATCTGCGGTGTATATAGCACACTAACACACTGAACACGCCACGTGCTGATACATGATAGTGTGAACTTAGCTTTACAATAACCCCTCATTGTCATCGTATTTGCATTTAGTGCAAATAATTACGCAAAATCGCTTGTCTAAATATACGGAGTGACGCACAAAATTACACAAGGACATATGAACACTATAAAATAAAATACATAGACGACAATCAATATTAGTTCTTCATAAACAGGATAATATTGAAGTGATAACACAGTGTAATAATTCAATATGAATAAATTGCTGGTTATAATTGTCTTGCTGTGTGTCGGTTACTGCGTGGCTATAGGTGCGTTTATAATTATTGTTCATCTAAATAAAACAAAAACGAATAATATAAGACTAAAATGTGTACAAATTGCAAGTCAGTTTCTCTTGACTGCATTTCGACTTTTGTGAGCAACATGTAACAACTTTTTACATGAAATAGGTACCTCTATATTAATATAGAAATTAAATTTGGATTTGATTTTCTAAATACTTACTTACTTACAGGTACTGAGACAAAGAAATTATTTTTAATAAATTACTTATGGACTACACGATTATTGAAGTGCCGCATAATTCCCTAGGCTTCGAAGTGACTCATATATTAATCAACGTTCCCTATAAAAAAGCATAGTTACGAGAAGATATGTAAAAATATGGAATTTTAACCTAACTTTGTATTTTTTTAAAGAGAATATTTTATGAATTCAACTTTTGGTTGTGACACAACCTTTAGAAATACGAGTATAAAGAATTTAAAAAATATTGTTACTGCTAATTTGTGCGAAAGAATGAAAGTTGCTAATTTAGGGTGTACGCATTCTCTTAAATATTCTTTTCTACTTCCAGATCCCGTGTGCTTACTACCAACTGATACTGGCCCATGCAGAGCATTAAAAACGAGGTACAAACATTAAGTAGTAGTCCCCGAATAATAAAAACATATCTATACTAACATAATTAAGAAATTTGGTTGTTTGTTTGCAACGTATAGACTCCAAAACTACTGAACCGATTTCAATAATTCTTTTCACCTACGGGAATCTACATCATATGCGGTGAACATATGCTATGTTTTGTCCCGAAAAACAGCAAATAAAGGGATAGAAATGGGATTGGAAGTTTGTATAGGGAATTAAAATGTTGCCATAGCTGGCATTGCTTACTATTGAATTTGTGATTGTAATTACGAGTACAACTGTATTATCTTATGTATCATGATATGAATAGATATCCAAATAAACAGTTTCCTAGGTACAACACCGGTGATGCTGCTAGCGGAAAGCTAGTGATATAATAAAATAATATAACGCTGTTCATAGACAAAAACAATCAAACGTTCTTAAAACGTTATCACTTTCTCTGTAGCTTTAAATTAGATATTCGAACCCTAGACCAATACCGTCTTATTAGAAAACGAGGACTGACTTTAATACCAATTTTAAACCATTATCCGACCAAATTAAGTCAACACGTCTCAATTTGACGTTTTCTCTTCTTCATTGTCAATTGACTTTAGGCAGCCAATGGCTTCCTAAACTTCCTCGTTTAGGCTAATAGTATGCAAGCGAAACGTATCGTTATCCATATAACATCGTTCCGATGGAGTACTGCATATTGTTGTACGGGATTGGTGCACTGACTAAACTATACGTATCGATACATATCGCTATCCATAGACATTTCTATCGTTCTACTAATCCGTTTTCTTGTACGTGAGCTATAGGTCAGTGAACTTATAAACTCAATAGAAACGATACAAATCTCTATATAATCTGTGGATAACACAATACGTATCGTTCTCTTTTAACGCTTACAGTTGCTTTGAGTCGCGCTCCGTTTTTTTTCTGTTTGGCTCCCCTAGAAATATCGGACAGTTAAGTTAATTACTACATTTTCTTATGTGCATAATCTAATGTAATCGTAACCTAATGTATAAATAATGAATATTCTATTACAGATATGCGTACAAACAAGTTCAAGGCGAATGCGTGACATTCACATATGGAGGCTGCCAAGGAAACGCTAATAACTTTGAATCTCTTGACCAGTGCCGAAAAACATGCTTGTAGCAGATTGTTACACAAGGGTCTAAAATACTTAAACTTCAAAAACCTTATTCATTGGTTTCATATACAATAAATGTTTTCTAATTTTCTTTTTAATTCTCTAGTGTAAGAATTCTATAGCATTGTAGTGGCAACAGAATTACATTACTTGTAAGGATTTCAACTGTCTCACCTTATGTATTAGTAACTAACCGACAGACAACAAAGTCTTAGTATTATGGTACGCAACCCTAATAAAAAAGATTGGAAACGTGTGATGAGCTCAATATGTCCTAACTGAATTGCCGCCAAGATATTAAACTCCAATATTTGAAACTGATGTTGTTTATTAACGTCTATACTTCACCACTGATAAGGAAATCAAATAAAAAAATGATATAACATTTTTCTTATATTAAAAGCTAATAAATTATTGCATCCTTCTTCAAAATTAGGAGGCCCTCGAACTCGACGAATCCGATTCTTTCCAAAATAACCCCTGTCGCTATCGTGTTAAAATACAAAATCTTTATATACGAATGTAAATACAAAAATTGACATTTACAATCGAAATACTGAAGGGAATTTTGTATCGTTGAGTGCAATTAGGGACTGATATCGAACTTATTTTTACTGAGGGTTGGTCTTGCTTATTTTTAATAGACACTTAAATTAGAGTACATATCAAGAGCTGTGTGTATGTCTAAAAGGGGACCTTTGTATTTTCAACTAGCCACGACCCATTGCTTTATCCACTTGGAAGTTCATACTTTTCCATAAAGATCTAGAGGACAAGAAAATAAATAAAAACATCTGTTGAAAAATGCACTGAGAAAAGCATATAACTTTCTCAGCAAACCTTTTCTTTTCCATTTTAGGAGAGCGTTTAATAATAAATAATCCGCCAACTTGCGTTGTCCGCCATATTTATTAAGAATAAAGTAATTTTATTTTGTTTGTATTTCTTTTACCAAAATCCTTTCATTTGATTTTTTGTTTGATAACTGATACTTGAATTTATAAAAAAAAATCATGCAATTAAAACAAAAGGAAATTTGTTATTTTTGGAGGCTTACTTTTCTTCATTGCCACAACACGTTGAAGTTGAATAGCATGTTAGCCCCGACACGAACTTCCCTATGTGGTATTTCTGTGCCACAACGCGTTCCGAGCGTTTTCATTAGAGCAACAGGAATTTCGAAATGATTTACTGTACAGTAAAACATCTACATCTCGAAATTCGTGTTCGTGAGCTATTTTTTTTTTATTTTTGAGCGTAACATATATAAATCTCGTGTCAGTATGTAACTGTTGATAACTTCTGACAGCTTTAATTAAATTTCACATGTATCTCTAATTTGGTCTGAATTAAAAGATATGATAGTTTAAAAAAGAAAAGGTCTTTTCCGTTCCGCTCGGTAAACAAAATAGAAGTAATTAAATGTTAATAAGTATGACAGTACTGATAAGTAGGTAAGTTAAGCATCTTATAAGTACGGGAAGCTCTTGGCTAATCCCAATTTCTTTACCCCTCAGATTCAAAAATATGTCAAGAAGTCTCAAGAGATTTCAATGAGGGCGTCTGACATCGATCCGTAACGTTCCAAATATAAAATAAAGCATTCATATCTGTATTCATCAACTAAAAGAATACTAATTTAAAACCTCGAATAACAAAAAAAAGAAAAAATATCTACTACGTTTAAATTTAACTTTAATTGCTAACATATTGAATAAAGATATTCCTATAAAGATATTTCGTGATGTTCTTTACATTACCTGCTTAGTACGACGCAATGTAATAAATATGCGCACTTATCCAGCAATATATATTTTCTTGGAAATATTTTTTGTAATTCAACTTTTGATAACATTTCACGAATTTCGACTAAAAATACTAAATTTGAGAAGTGTTCTACTTACTAATGGAAAGAAATCCTTCCTTTGGACCTACTTGAGGATGGGCTTGTTTTGCAATTAATAATTGCGCAAGTCGGCATTTTTAACACTTTTAGTGGCGCGAATGACTAAACATCGCGATCGCGTGGTGAAGTCACGATCCTGTACATTTGTCCGGGATTGTGGCTACACTGCCACGCCCACAAAGCCCTTCTAACGTCTTTCTGTGTTCTGTGATAAAAACATTGCGAACTTTGTCATCATATATTTGTAAATATTTTTTTTATCAAACCAACATCACATTACATTATAAAGTAAAATAACATTCTGATCTTGTTATCATTATTTTATACAAGTATTTTCAAAATATTGTATTTTGACTAGACTAAAAACAATATTTATGTTTGCTTTTATAGCTTACTTTTTTATTCTGATGCAATCTATAAATATTAATCTACAAATATTAAATTAAAATTCAGTCACACTGATTATGAGTTCCAACTGAGTTTAATTACCTACTTTAAACTACATAGGTATTTTAAGCTTTTAAAGTTCTAATTTTAAATCATCATCATCATCATCAACCCTTTTACGTCCCCACTGCAGGGGCTCAAGCCTTCTTTATGGATAGTTAAGGAGGATGGGCCATGACCCTCCACGCTGGCTCAATGCGGATTGGAGGGTAAATTTTATACTGTGAGTGATATACACAAACCCGGTTCTCAGAATAATACTCGTTTCCATCTACAAAACATATTTCATTCATTACCAACTACACAGAAAAAATTGTTTATGTTTACTATTATTTAATGAAACCGTGAAAAACGCTTTAATGTACTAAAAATGAGCTAAACAAAATCTGACACAACCAAAATAAAAACACGTTTTCTAAATTAATTTAGTTACCTCATTTAATTCGAATGATTAAACAAGATTTTAAAACCCTCAGTGTACACAAATCGTAGTAATTATGTAATATAAATTAAAAGACAGTTGTTGATTTTAATATTTTGTCTTAAATAATACGTTTAATTTCAAAGCACCAAAGCTTTCAATGTTGCGGGCGCTAGGTGTCGCTGAATTCATGTAAATAGTCAATAGTCGTGAGAAGTAATAACTTGAGAATATATCATAACTTAAGCAGATATCTTTACTAAATAATCAAGAATTTGAACGAAGTAAGAACTAATATTTAATAATAATAATCTAATTATTAAGACGTGTCAGCGTTAGTCTGTGCTACAACTGAAAAAAATCAGCACCCGATCACATAATGTGAATGTACTTTATTTAAAATGAATGAAATATTTATAACAAAATTGAAAAATGCCGAACGTTTCCTCAAATATTTCAAGCTTTTAGAGATTCGAAACAGCGTTTTGTCCATTTAAGCGAGTGCACGTAAACCCACATTTGCTGGTAATAAAATTTGTTAGAACACAAATCTTCGGACGTTTGCTTCTCTTGTACACATTGTAACATGGATATCTTCTTCGTACAAAGTGCTATTTCATTTATCTTACAAGAGATCTTAGTACCTTTCACATCTGTAGATATGCGAGCGGATTTGGAGTTACCATTTAAAACAGCGAATAAAATGTTTGGAGTGTTAAAAAAGTAACTATGCTAAAAAATTGTATTCATGTCAATTTGACAATTAATAATGTCAACTAGGTTTCCGCCAGCGGCTTAACCCGCGTGGTCCATAAGGAACTGTTTAGCGAGATAAAAAGTAGCCTATATGTTCATCTTGGTTTAAAGTTTTAGTTTTTCGTAAAAGAGTAACAAACATACATTTATTCACCGGTTTAATGAATGTCAAATGTGTATGGGTAATGGCGTTTGAAACTAATGAGATTTTTAATTGTGCATCTTGTGCAACTCTCACAAACTTTCGCATTTATAATATTAGTGGGAGTGGGATTTGGCTCGCGACTTCATCCGCATGGTATATTTTATTTTCTAATGAAGCCACTTAGTGCCATAAAATTGTATAAGCATCGGTGTCGGCGGAGACTTATATTTAGCTACTGCATAATAACATGCGCGAGCGTCCGTCCGCGGCTCTTTAGCACTTCGTTAGCGTTGGCTGTCTTTTAACACCCAGACACTATGTAGTACCTTAACGAGCAGTTTAATTATACCTATGAGTGCAACTAACATGATCTTTTTTGTTTATTCTACTTATAAATCATTTGAAAAAGACAAAATAAAATCTACATCTTAAAAGTTTTATTAACTGACTTCAAAATCCAAAAGTAAATTATAAGTATAATCTACGGCGTTGTATGTTTTTATATTTTTTATGTAGGTTCACCGATATTTCCGCCAATTTTTGACGGATTTTCAAAACTTTTTTTTTATTCGACAGCTTAATATATCTAGGTGGTCTCATTTAAATTTGTTCGAAATCAAATGAGTAGTTTTCCTTCCATAACAAAACAAAATACGCTTTTCACCAGGTAATCACCAAATATTTAGATGATATGTTTATTTCAGCTGAATAAAGATTATAGAATTAAAGATTATAGAGTACCTATAAAATTATCGGAAAAAATAAAATATTTTCAGTGTAACCTACTTTATAAAAAATATTAATATCTCATAAAAGCATGTAATAAAAACTTTTTTTGATCTTTTTTCTGTAGGTTATGATTGGCGCTCGATTTTAATAGCATTTTCTCGAATGGGATAGCATTATATATTACATTTTTAAAGTTTAAAGTCGGTTCTATTTAAAAAAAAAAAGTTTTTTTTTCTGATTTGCAATCGAAACATTTCGTTATAAACACCGCACCGCAGATTGGGAGTATATCCTTCAGTGAGAACATATCCTTAATTATTTCTTTCTATATGATATATTTCGTCTTGAGTATTTTTTTGTATATGGAGAGTATATTTCAGTATGTGACAGTATTACGAACTGAATTTAATATTTGTACTTTCACAGAACTGAACTGCTGAATTTCTCCTTCTGGAGGCCTTCCCCGATAATCTCCACAACGAACGGTCCCGTGCTATCCTCACTCCAATCTGCCTGGCGATCCTGACCAGCAGAATGATTCTGTAAATACCCGAACCCAATTTCACGTTATTTAATGAAGAAGTTCTATTTATTTGATTTT